TATAATTTGATGTTTGTATCCTTTTTTCCTGCACTTTTTTGTTTTCTTTTAAACTACCTTTTTTCTAACAATTTTAAGTAGTGCACTCTATACACTGTAAACGTTTTTGTTTTTTCTTTTCTTTCTTTTAAAATATATAGTTATTTTGTTTAGTCGCTCTTCAACCTGTATTGTTTTAAATATTGTATTGCACTTTAACGTACGTATTTGTAAAAAACAAAAAACGTAAGTAATGTAGCTATAGATGTAACTGTACTGTAAGTTATTTTCTGTAGCCGTGATGTAAGTAATATAGCTGTAATTAAAGTAATATAGTTGTTTTTGGTAAAAAAAAAAAGAGAGAAAGAGCTCTTTTGACCAATACCAGGGTGTTTTTGAATAAATTATAGTGACCCACTGAATACACACATGCTTTTAAAACCCCTTAAAACCCCTTAAATATCACATAATTTAGGAATACAGATGATTTCTTGTTGTATGCAATGTGTTACGAGGAGCGAGCTTCTCAACTTTTGAAATTTTCGATGTCGCAATCGGTTAAAAAGGGATTTTGCACCTCTCGTTATTGAGAGCTCTAAAATATTTCATTTTGACGTATTTCCAGACACAAAGGTGCTTTTATTTACTCACTAACAAAGATAGCATAAAAGTTTGAGGGAAACCTTGGTGTTCCGATGCGAAATACCCTAGACCACTCTCATATCAGACTGAACCTTACACACGGCAGCTGATTAACAAGAATTTATTATTCAAAACAAAATGTCACAACATTCAAACATAAATACTTCTCAACATCGATATAGCATATGCTGTCGAGGGATCTGCTAAAGATTCCATTAGCTAAAAGTAAAATATGAAAAAAGTAACCAATCTCCCTGAGGCGGAATATGATTACTCACTTCTGTAGATAAGGTAGCAGCTGAAATATAGTAAAACCAACCGAGCTCATAAGACAAATTTTAAACCTGTGTAATCCTATTACTGAGATCATCAATCTGACTGCTCTAACGATCAAAATTCGTAATCTTACAAATTTCATGAGCGGAAATACAATGAAAACTGTCGATGGAACCATAGACTCGGTTAATAACAGCCACATCGGTTTAATATGACACTTAAAGTGAAACTACATTTCTTAGAATACAATATTCATTCTGGAAAATTAATGCAAATGATCGGACTCATCTATCTCCAACAAAAATTCTTTGCACAAGAAATCTATGTCTACTTTTTGTTTTTCTTTGAACGACGACGAAGGCGAAATAGGTATTCGAATTTGCAAATATACAGCGTGCAGCTCATACCTAGGATTAGTGTAATTTCACTTAAGATTAGAGAACCTTTTCCCTAACTTATACTTCTAGAACTATCCTTGGAAAATCTTACACAACATTTAGTAATTTGACTACGTTTACATCTATGTAAATGGAAAATAAAAACCAAAGGTTATTTTACTTCACCGGAACCTTGATCCGCTTGTAGAAGTTACCTTGCAAATTATTTTAATTATATCTGGTTCGGTTATTCGGCGTTTACTGCAGCTGGCATCGGCGCCGCTTAAGCTTGTCGTAACGGTGGAGGATATTGGTTTGGTGGTGGAGGATAGCTTGCGTAGGGCGGAGGAGCCTGATTGAAACCTGGAGGAGGCTGATCGTAACCAGCTGGAGGAGGCAGGTTGTAACCTGCTGGAGGAGGCTGATCGTATCCATCTGGAGAAGGCAAGTTGTAGTTCACCGGCGGAGGAGCATGTACTTGTTGTGTCGTCATCATTTGGATTGAGAAGATTTGTTGCTGTGGCTGTTGGCCGGCGACGACCACAGCACCTGGTGTACGATAGCGGTAGTACGGGCAACAAGCGCAGCAGCAGCAGGATACGATGGAAATGATGATTGCAAAAAAAATAATCGTGCCGATAACAGTGCCTGCAATAGACCCGCCGCTCCAACCACAGTATGAGGAACAAACTCCCCCACAACAATCCTCATCAAGGTCACACTGGTAGTGGGACGAACAGTAGCAAGATGACGAACTGTTAATGCACTTGCTATTACAACATTTCTTGCTCGATTCACATTGGTAGTCATACGAACAGAAACAAGAGGATAAACTATTGATACATTTGCTTTTACAGCATTTCTTGCTCGATCCACATTGGTAGTCGTACGTGCAGGAACAGGAAGAAGAGCTACTGATGCATTTGCTTTTACAGCACTGTTCGCCAATGTCACATTGGTAGTCGTACGTACACGAACATGAAGAGAAACTGCTGATACATTTCCCATTACAGCATTGCTCGTTCGTTCCACACTGGTAGTCGTACAAACAGTAGTGACATCTCTCTCTACAGACTTTATCTGTACAACAGGACTCACTATAGGAACAACCACTGTCGTAAGTACAGTAGGTAGCACTTCCCAAGGCAAAGAAGCAGACGAAAAGAAAGCATAAAAGCTCCTTAGCGGCCATTGTCCTTTCACAATTTCAGTGGCGTCCGTTCGTTGTGAGATAATAAATAAATTAATAAGATGCAGTTGGCTGATTTCCATATTCTCTTTAGACACTCTACCAATGGAAACCCCAATAGATGGTTGGAAGGGTGCTGGGAAAGAGAAAAGGAATCGATAGGGGAAGTTGGATGGCAAGAGGAGAGATGCTGTTACCATACATAATCATAATGGTTCAGTACCTTTCAAGTCAGGCCAAAGCTAAAACTCAAACAAAAGCCCAGATATTGAACAAAGAACGTAAAGACGTCACAAATCTGTGAACCCCGTCGTCATTCAAGAAAAAAAAACAGTCATTCGTAAATATGGATCTACGATAAAGATACATCTTTTCATTTTCTTTTTAATGAGTACTTGTGAGCAGCAAACAGCTATAGATCTTATCAACTTGATTTGTTTTCTCCCAACGGTTTCGTCTGATTACACAGACTTTGTGAGGGAATTTGAACAAGATCGCTTAAAGGAACTTACTACACACGTTATTTACAAGTACAAGTCACGTTCCCACAAGGGCGTCAAGAGCGAGAAATACCCACATAAGTAGGTAAAGGATATCACAGAAATCGCACATGATATTGAGTTTAATTTTAGGGCTCTCGGATTTAACCTTGCGTATAGTGGGGAGTGGCGGGGTCGATATTCTCTCCAATTGACAAGAAGGTCCATACGGGCATGGTATGTTCGAAAAGAATACCCTTTCATTCAGATTTCGAGTTGCCAGGTTTTACGAGAAGAGCTTCAGTTACAGGGAAACTTTTGAGCGCGGGGAAAAACGAATGATCTAGTTGTTATTGGTCTAAGTTCTGGATCTGGTGAGGATTGAACAATCCGAGGTTCTTTTAACAATCAGTGAATACCCAACAGGTCCGATTAAGTAAGTAGTTTCTACAACGGTTTCATCATCCGGGAAGACTACTTTGCTTTAAACTTCTGCGAAGATTGGATGTCACGCAACTCGAATAACGCAGCTCATTGTCATGAAATCGACGATTGGATAATAATCCTGGGATGGTAATCGTAACTTTTACTAAATTCAATCCAACGTGGGAACAGTTCAATGCAAAATTGCTCCATATTATGCATGTAAGAGTTTATGTCATACTTAAATATGTCAGATAAATGAGTTGCCGTTTGTTTGTTGACTTGTTTCACACATCTTAGTACTCGGCCGGTGAGCGGGACGACATCGAAACGATTTGTCCTTGTACCTCGGATGGAGGATACGGAGTTGGGTAGGATGGCAAGTAAGTGGGTGGTGCCTGGATCACTCTTTGTCTCCATGGCCTTTCGCATCAGCTTCTTTGCTATTTTGACGGCGTTCTCAGCCTTGTCGTTGGATTAGGGGTAGGTTGGAGAACTTATGGCAAGTTCGAAGGAGTGTGCGCGAGCAAACTCTTGAAGATCTCTTGATGCAAACGTTTCGCCGTTATCTGGGATGACTTGATTTGGGTTCCATGCTTTGCGAAGTGGTCCTTAACTTTGCGGATGACTGATAGTTGTCACGCTTTCAGATGCCCTGCGTTTATTTATAATTCAACGCATGGCGTCCGAAAGCGTGGACAACTATAAGTCTGCACTTAACCACGACAAAAAAAAAACATGGTAAATAGAGGCTCGTAGAAATGAGTTTTCACTATAGACGCCATGTAATGTTCTTCAGGGCTTAGTCTTATGGAAGACAGATAGAATTAGGGGAAATAATGAACGTGTGTTGATTCAACTCTATTGAAATCAAAAGTGAACACAAACCTAATACAGCTATCTCGAGTTACGTATCTGTTACCTTCACAATATAGGATATCCAGTCACAACTTGCATATTAAACTGAATCTTACACGCGGCGGCGAATTAACAAGAATTTATTTTCCAAAAAAAATTGTGACAACACAGGAATGTAAATACTGCTCGACATCGACATAGCATATGCTGTTGAAGGATCTGCTAAAGATCCGATCAGCTAAAAGTAGGATATAAAAAAAGTAACAAATCTCTCTGAAGCGAAATAAGTTTATTCATGTCTGTAAATGAGGTAGCAGCTGAAATATAGTATAACCAACCGAACTCATAGTACAAATATTTAACCTGTGTAAATATATTACTAAGGTTATCAATTTGACCTCCATCTTGAAAATTTCATAAGCGGAAATACATTGAAAACTGTAGATGGAAGCATTCATTTGGCCGGACTCATCTATTTCCAAAAGAAATCTGTGTCTACTTTTTGTTTTTCTTTGAACGACGAAGGCGAAATAGAAGTTCAAATTTGCAAATATACAGCGGGCAGTCATGGCTGAGATGAGTATAAGCTTATTTAAGATTAGAGAGCCTATTCCCTAACTTATACTTTTAAAACTATCCTTAGAAAAAAAATTACACTGATAACATTTAGTAACTTGACTACGTTTACATCCATGTAAATGAAAAATATAAACCAAAGGTTATTTATTTCACCGGAACAGTAATGTGGTGGAGAAGTTACCTTGCAGAGTACTTTAATTACATCTCGTTTACAGCAGCTGGCATCGGCGCCGCTTGAGCTTGTCCCAGCGGTGGAGCATATTGGTTTGGTAGTGGTGGACCGCCTGAGTAAGGCGGAGGAGCCTGATTGAAACCTGGAGGAGGCAGGTTGTAGTTCACCGGCGGAGGAGCATGTACTTGTTGCGTCGTCATCATTTGGGTTGAGAAGATTTGTTGCTGTGGCTGTTGGCCGGCGACGACCACAGCACTGGGTGTACGATAGCGGTAGTACGGGCAACAAGCGCAGCAGCAGCAGGATACGATGGAAATGATGATTGCAAAAAAAATAATCGTGCCGGTAACAGCGCCTGCAATAGACCCGCCGCTCCAACCACAGTACGACGAACAAACTCCTCCACAGCAATACTCTCCACTGTCACACTGGTAGTCGGACGAACAGGAACAAGAAGACGAACTACTACTGCATTTGCTATTACAGCATTTCTTGCTCGATCCACATTCGTAGTCGTACGTGCAGGAACGGCAAGAAGACGAACTACTGCATTTGCTATTACAGCATTTCTCGCCCCATCCACATTGGTGATCGTACGAACAGAAACAACGGTCTCTGCAGACATAATCACAACAGGACTCACTATAGGAACAATCACTGTCGTAGGTACAGTAGGTAGCACTTCCCAAGGCAAAGAAACAGACGAAAAGAAAGCATTGAAGTTCCTTTGGGGCCATTGTCCTTTCACAATTTCAACTGCGTCCGTTCGATGTGGGACAATAATCGGTTGGCTGATTTCCAAATTCTCTCCGGACACTTTACCATGGAAACCTACGAACAAAGAAACTAAAAACGTAATAACTTTGTCAACCCTGTCATCATTTAAGACATCGCAGTCATTAGTAAATACTAATCTCCGATAAACATACGTAGCAACAAGAAACGGTTTGTCCTTCTATCTCAGCGGGAGGTTCCTGGGTTGGACCGGGTGGTGAATAATGCAATTTGTGATAATCGTAATGAGCATAAATAAATATTTTGTCGACACGTGTCAAAAGACTGGAGGCAAGTGCGAGGTTTGCGGGGAGTTATGGGATCGTAGTTTGTAATTTTAGGTCGTTAATTAGGCATTCTATGGTCAGTCGTCGCCGTGTTTAGTTGTTAGGTCTCGTTGTCGTTTAAGTCGAGGGAAAAAATCCCGTAAAAAGTGGGGAAAAGAGTCTGGAAAAGAGTCGGGAAAAGGTCGGGAGAAAAGTCGGGAAAAAGGCAAGAAAAAATACGAGGATAAAGTCGGGAAAAAAGTCAGAAAAAGTCGGAAAAAATTCGGGAAAAAGGTCGGGAATAAAGTAAAAAAAAAAGTCGGGGAAAAAAAAGACAGAGCACAGAAAAACTCAAGGAGGGATTTGTAATTGAAGGCGTAATAATAATTTATTATTGAAAGCATAACGGCACTTAATGTGTTCGTTTGCGCTACTAATCATAACCACTATAATTTTCTTAAATGTGATTGGCGCATCAGCTGCTTCTTTTTTCACTAATCATTCTGTTCAGTTGGTTGTAATCAGACACCTGTAATCGGACAGTTGAAGCAGCCAATCATGCTAGGTCCACTCAGCTAAATCCACCAATCACAGATTTGATCACAATAACCATACCAACAACCACTTCTCCAAAGAAAAACAAGGCAATTTCAAAATGGAGGAATATTTAACTAAAGACGTTGTCTCCACCGGAGATATTTGTTCTAGGTGTATTTGTTTTTTCGGAAATTGAAATGATCATAATTAATTGGTAACAGGATATATTGTCGTCCAATTTTTTTAACCACTCGTATGATCACAGAACGAATTGAACTCCACTCGGTCCTATTACCATTTGATTACTAATTTACTGAAGGTTGAAGTTTGCCCCGACAGACTAATTTGCATAATTCGGCTGTCACGCAAGCAAAGGGAATGAATTAGTGCAAGATGATTTTCCATTTTTATGCTTTCAAACATCTTGTAAGAAGAAATCAACAGTGTGAAGTTCTTGTTCAAGTAAAAGTCGGGAATGAATAAGTTGCCAGTAATTGGATCCTTGTGTTTGAGTGAAGATTTCTGGGATCGCGATGGGACAAACAGTGTAAGTTGTTGGAGGGAAATATCTAGCGAAAGGTTGCTTCGACGTCCACAAAAACGATTTGAGCCTTTTCAGCCTTGCCGTTGGATTGAGGGTAGGTTGGAGAACTTATGACGTGTTCGAAGGAGTATGCGCGAGCAAACTCCTCAAACTCTCTTGATGCAAATGTTTCGCCGTTGGCTGGGATGACTTTATCTGGTATGGCCATGTGGCCTTTGCTTACGACTACGAATTGTGCATGTAACATGAGGGAGGTTTGAGTTGGGTTTTGTTAAACATCTACAGGGTTTTTTTTTGTTTCTATAACTTAATTGAGCACTGGATCATTCATTACTTGCTTATACTCACCTACTGGTAAAATATTAACAGTAGCGCCACCATCGAGTTAAACTATAACTTCTGTTTCTCTCAGGTGCATTTTAGCAAAGATCTTGCACTGGCACTGCTCCGCGTCGATCGCGCTGACAGGTACTATCCCGGGATGTGGCTTAGAGCCCCACAGTCTTGATAGTGTTTCTGCCAGGCTGCACATAGCTCTTTCTTTCTTGTGTGGGTCTTTAGGTAGAACTTGCATTTAATTTGAAGGAGGATCTGAGTCGCGCTGTCCTGAGTTGAAGCTTTTATTACGCGGGACGTTGTCTCGCCATGAGCTGTCAGTGTTGCTTCGTTGTGGGCGACGCGGCACATTAATAGCACTCATTTCATTACCTGTTATTTTTTAAAATTGTTTCGTTGTTGTAGTATTTGTTCCTATTGGATAAATACGTTAGCGATTACATAATATTTATAGCGGAGCTCGCGGAGCGTAGCCGCATAACTATACAAAATAGTAATAACCCATCAAGCCGAAATAATTTGGTTGTACGACCGTACGACCGTACAAAGTGCTACTTTTAGCATGCGCGGCCAACTGTACCACGGGCACTATCTTAGTCATTATATACGTAATGGAAGGGCGAGACGGTAATACGCAGGCGCGATTGCGTGCGTAAGTTGGATACCCCATTAGTGTGCGCCAAGAGACATCGTCAGATGACGATAAAGTGCGCATACTCGATTGTCGAGCTGCAGTGTAGCGTACTGCGGGCACACAGTTAGTCATTGCACGAGGACTTCACGTGAACTAGCAGATGAAATTTGCCACCCGCGTTTTGAGCGGGAAATCAAACTGGTCAGGATGTAGTTGAACAGTAATTCTCAGTATTTTGCAATTTCTAAACAACTCGTAAGAGAACAATACCGGCAGAGTTTAAGCTTTGTCAACCGGAGGAAATTGTTATAATTCAAGTTCGTGGTTTTAATTGAAAATAGGCTGGATATAAAGAGACTGAACGACCAAAGAAAGCAACAAGTAAACGGCGTAAAGCGAGTCCAGAAAATCGCGCAAGAAAGTTACAAAGGACGCCAAAATAGGCAGAATACGGCGAGAGGAACAAGAAAGAGAACAATAAAGGGCAGAAGTAAAAAGGCGAGTTTCTAGCGAAGAGCAACGCTTCTGAAAACAGACAGAAAAGAGGTCATCAACAAAGAGAAGCGAACTGCAAAGGATCCGCGAGAGAAGAGGAGGTAAGTCGTGTCCTATCTGGGTTTTCTCTTGCGCTAAGACCCAGAAAACATATACATATATATAACTGATTACATGGTGTCTCTAACCCTTTACACTCCAATATCAGAATGCACATTCCCCAAACTGTTCTCTATATATTTCCCTATGTGCTGGCAAGGAGAATTTGTTTAACAATCAAGAGGTTCTTCAGTTGATTATCATTTCCTTTATTCTCATGACCTTAATGCGTGACTCAGGGGTGATATTGAATGGAGAAATTAGATGCTAGTCACTCTCAGGAATTAAAGTGTTATTAGCTGTACACATTTTCATGTATATGCTCGCATTTGTTGGCAACAATAGCTAAGATTGTTAGGAAAGCAAACAAACAAGTGAACAGAGGACAGTGAAATGAGGGAAACTGTTAACTTTACCATGTTGTAGAAAACTATCACAGAATACTTAAAGAGGGGAAACTTGAATTGTGCTAGCTAATTTCCTCCATTGCTATTCATGTTTTTGATCAAATAAAATTTAATCAGTTGTAGTGTTTGCCTGCAATGTGTCAAATTTCCAGTGTACACTTCATTCTTCTCAGATGTCCTCTGGTAAAAGATAGATTCTTAAAATAGTCGTTCATAAGAAAGATCACACATCATTAAAAATATCACATTGAAGTGGTGGCATTATTGATTTGTGATATTTAAAATGACAGAGGCAGGAAAAACACATTGAGCTTTTTCCTATTCACTAATAAGTTAATTAGATAATTTTGGATTCTACATTCAGACTGGGTGAGACTAAATTTATTCATATCATGCTTCATTATGGTTTGTTTACCTGGAAAGGTAATTGATATAGCTTCAGGGATGTTTTTGTTGCAATCACAATTAACATTCGTAGCGAAATTTCATTTAGCATGGAATGTTTTAAGAACACTTTTCCTTTCTCTTTCCTTTCTCTGGATCACAATTAAAGGTAGCAGGTTATTAAAAAAAAATTATAACTTTTGATTCAGGTAATTATTTGAATATGTGAGTAACATTTGATAATTTCACATGTAACAGGATGATCAAGCTGAAGATAGCCTAAAAAAGGATTGAACTCCACTGTAAGAGGTAGGTAACTAATTTGGAAACTTTAGCACTTGGTAAATACACCATGGCTTGCAATTCTGATGATTACAGTTTCCTGAGGTAATTGAAATGTTAGTCCCCATACAGGAACCTTCCACTTGACCTGTACAGTCATGTACTATGAGATAACTTTAGAAAAATGCATTTGTGTTGGCAGGACTATTGTGAATACAGTACCACCTAGAGACAAAAATAAATGATTTCCTGTAAGCATGAAAATTTTGGAGAAGATAGGGTGGTAAATGACCCTTCTTTTGCTAGGATGCATAGGGTCTGATGATTTTCATGTATATCTTTTAGCTTTCAAACTTTCAACTCTGTATTAATTGTAGCTGTTTACTATGTCTTAATTCTCTGTACCATAAGCCCTCAAAAGTTGAAGCAGGCAAGTCAATAACCTGACTTCCTTTGTTTATCCTACGAATTCAGTTGTAATGGTTGAATCTGAAAAAACAAGGATCCTCCTTTAATTAGGACTGAAATTAATGGTGGCACTCTTATTTTAATTCATGTTATTAATTTAACCTGCCTCCTCCCCTGTAATGTTCAGGGCACATAGATGAAGAGAACATTTTTTTGTATTTTGATGCATAAAAGTTAAATTACCAGTAATTGGCATCCACATAATCACAAAACAAGAATGTAAAGCTTTAGCTTAATTGGTTAAAAAATCAAAGTAAGAGAGTTTTGCAGACTGTGTCTGACTTTTTATCCCGGTTCTGGATATTTATTTAAGTAACAAAGACACTATCAGTCTCATTCACTCTCACTTTCCACTGAGCTTGTGGAAAGGTGATAACATCATTATTTCTTTAAATGAAGAAAGGAAAGCCTGCCCTCTTACCACGGATAGTTCTGTTGGGCATCATCAGTTCAAGATGATTGTTCCAGGTAGGCTAACCTTAAAAATTAGTTTTGAAAATTTCTTGAACCTGTCATTGTACATCTTGAATGTTTGACTCAATTTTACCACACCAACCTAAACTGAATAAATAGAAACATGAAATTTATTTGTTCTCCTTGTGAGGTGTGCATCAAAATTTCAAAATTTAGTCATCACAGGCTTAAACTATAGGTTTACAGGAAATCTGCATGTGCATGTGTTTTCAACATATGACACTGAGATTATGACTACTTCAAAAGACTTTACTACTGAGCCATATAGGTACAGGCAGGTGTTGTAAAAAAAAGTTTGCTTAGCTTTTTCATTAGTACACATTTCTTTTTCTAAGAACCTTATTTATCCAGCCTGTGCTGAATTCCAATTTTTCAACCAAATTTTATTTTTTTAATGTTATTAAATCTCCTAGTATCAGTTGATA